ACTTCCTCTCACGCTGTTCTCCTCCACTTCCTCTCACGCTGTTCTCCACTTCCTCTCACGCTGTTCTCTTCCACTCCTTCAAACTACTGGATTTATTCAAGTTTATCACCAAAACTACATTTTACAGATGACATGTGAACACATCATGATAACGTTATAATGTACCTTCAGCCAGTACTCATGTTCACTGAGCAGAGTCTGAAGGCATCATAATGTAACTGAAGTGAACCTCCGTTGGTTAGCCGTTAGCGGTGCTGCTAACGTTACTAGCTCTCCTCCTGTTGCTTTAAAGACTGATTGGTTGTTTACAATGAAACATGATCAGAGACTATAAATACTTACATCTCTCACTGCTGACACAGTTCTTCTTCTTCCTGTGTCTCAGAGGGTTCACCTGGACATCCAGGTGGGAGAACACGCCAACAACTACGCTGAGATCGCTGCCAAAGACAAGCTGACGGAGCTGCAGCTGAGAGTGAGACAGCTGGTGGAGCAGGTGGACCAGATCCAGAAGGAGCAGAACTACCAGAGGGTCAGTGTCTCTGGGTTTAAACAGAGTTCACACACATTCATCCGGTTTCTCTTTGTTTATTCTGAACAGACGCCGTCCTCCCGCTGGAGACTGAGGGAACATTTTGTCCTCCTCTAAAACTAATTTATCATTATAAAAAGTCAGGAACATTTCAAACTGTAGGAACACAGAACAAACACTTTCCCACAATGCAACAGGTCACAACAGGCTTTTCATTCGTCCGTGCTGGCGGTCATGTGACGTGTCCGTCTGTCCTCTCTCAGTACCGCGAGGAGCGTTTCCGTCTGACCAGCGAGAGCACCAACCAGCGGGTCCTCTGGTGGTCCATCGTCCAGACCCTCATCCTGGTGGCCATCGGCATCTGGCAGATGAGACACCTCAAGAGCTTCTTCGAGGCCAAGAAGCTGGTGTAGAGTGCGCGTGTGTGTGTGTGTGTGTGTGTGTGTGTGTGTGTGTGTGTGTGTGTGTGTGTGTGTGTGTGTGTGTGTGTGTGTGTTTGGTCTCTGCTGATTGGCGGCGGTCGCTGCTGCTGTCGGAGGATAAACTGCAGAGGAGACGGAGAGAGAAGCAGCTGAAAGGTTCGGCCTGAAAACGCCATCTTTGTTTTACTGTTGATGTTCTGTTTGTTTGTAACGAGCTCGTCACCTCTGCAGCAGACCGTCAGACCGTCGGGGGGGAAATGTGACAACTGTATTTATTACACAAAGAGCTTTTCATTCTGCTTTCTGTCCACGTCCATCAGGCCGATAGTCGTGTGTTTCTGTGGTTTATTTTTATTTTAAATGACTTCGTCTTCCTCCGTCTCCTGCCTCACTGTGATGAGGTCATGATGAGGTCATGATGTGTTACTGGCCACTAGAGATGTCGTTCAGCGTGTTTTCGATGACGTTAAACAAAAATGCAGAAATTATAATCTGGATTCATGTGTGTAAACTAAGTTTGTGAAACGTTTTCTTAAATGTGGAGATTCTGCAAACAAAAGTCAAATATTGACATCGAGGATGTTACGGCGCTGTTGTTGTTGTTGTCGTCTCTCGCTTCAACACAAACGATGGTCAACAAGCTGCACTCAACAACTAAACATCTTCAATTTCAGACTTTAAAGAGACAGCAGTGATGTTTAGAGGTGTTTGCATGAAGTTCTGCTCCAGTCAGAGGAGTAAAGTGATGTTCTGCTGTGGACGTATTTTAGACTCCTAAAAGAATCTGTATCAGTTTACATGAATACTTAATTTAGAACACTTTCACCTCTTTACTCTGCAGTCAGACAGACTGATGTTATCTATTCTCTCTTTAAACACACCAGACTCCATTCATAAAACAGTGATTTTAGCTCCACGCACTCATGAGTTGCTGCTCTACTGCTGCCTCCATCTGTTAGTGTGTTTGAGTTTGTTCACTAAAGTCTCTCATCAACACAAACACAGTATCCGATGCAGGCAGCAGTAGAGCAGCAACTGGTGTGTTCTGAGAGGTAGAATCAGTGCTTTATGGAGTCTGGTGTGTTTAAAGAGAGAATAGATAACGTAAGTCTGTCTGACAGCAGAGGAAAGAGGTGAAAGTGTTCTAAATGTAGTATATATCATTTTAGTTGTCTAAAATACATCCACATCAGTACATTACTTTACTCCCATGCTGGTACTCCTGTTTGTACTGTAGTAGTACACTGAGAAGTACCTCAAACAACCACACTTCTAATACATTACACTACTTTTACTGTAACGCTGGAATCTGGTTTAAAAACAGATGTAACTCTGAGCACATACAGCGTATAAAATGTCCTGTTGATGCATAACGGATGTGTTTATTGATGAGGTGGAGTTCTGTGACGACTCTCAGCTTTCAGATGAAGTTTGTCGATTCCTCTTTTTATTTCAGTGAAATCCAACAAAACGAGACTTCTGTTTTCTGTTTTTCACTGTGTGTCCAAGCTGAATGTACCTTCATGTACATCAGAGGGGATATTTACAATCTTCTGGTGTTGGATCATTTTAAAGGCTACTGTCGCTTTAAGAAAACAAAACAAACCGCGGTTCTTTAGACGTGGTTGAGATGCAGACGGGCTCGTTCATGAAGCTCTCGTACCTCCAGATTATTCTCTTATTCAGGTACAAAACAACAAAATCTCAAACTGTCGAAGTTTAGATCTAAACCCCCAAAATCATGAATCTGAATATTCATCTTCAACGTGAGACACGAGCAGCTAAAAGGTTTCAAATCCTCCTGAAGTTCAAAAGAACATTTAAAATCGTTCCTCAGCTGTCTGATTTAAAAAGAAGCTTTTGATAATTCCTCCTCAGTCCGTTGTTTCCTTCTTCACCTCTAAACATGTGGTTCCTTTTTATTTCTTCTTCTCTGGTGGTTTTGTGTTTGCTGGAATATTTGAGAAATGTTTTGGGTTAGAATTTGAATCGGTTTGTTTTTAGGCTGGAGGAGGAGCTTTGATTCAATCTTTTATTTTTGGAGAGATTCTGTCCTCGTGAGATCCGTCTCATTGCACTCAGAATAAAGTTTGTCACATTTGGTTTGAAGGACTGATGATTTCTTTTATTCTTGTAATATTTTCCACTGAAACAGTTTGTAAAAGTCACTTAAGGAGGTTTTTTATTGGCTGTACGTTGTATTATAAGTATAAAATATAGAAAGCAAAGAAATGAGACTGCAAAATAATGTAATAAAGTTTAAACTAAAATAATTATGACTGTTTCCTAAAATAAAACTGTTGCTTTTTAAATGAAACAAAAAATGAAAGTACTCATTCAGAAGAATATATATATTGTATTATAATTATTGATATAATGTGTTTATCACTTTAAGGTTGCAGCAGGTAAAGATGGAGCTCGTTGTATTCACTTTATTTACTGCTGCTAGTTTAATATAGAGTATTACTTCATCATTTATTGGTTGATTATATTTAGTTTTAAACATCTGAATATGTAAAGTAAGTTATCCTATAAATGTAGTGCAGGAAAAAGTACAATATATTCCTCTGTGATATCGTGGAAAGTAGAAATACTAAGTAAAGTACAAGCACCTCCAAATTCAACTTAAGTACAGTACTTGAGTAAAAGTACTCAGTAAAACATCTGAGTACTTTACACAGTACACCGTTTCCTTTACTGGTGTAGTGTTCCTTTAATGGTGGAACCTTTGCTATTAATGAGTTTGACTCCAGCAGTAGAGAGGATTTATTTTTTTAAATACTACAATCAATATTCAGAATTCATCTAATGAGGATGTGTGTTTATTTGTTGTGGGTCCCACGTTTGAGTTGATGGCTTTGAAGAGTGGAAGAAATAATGTAAATATGAGTAAGTCAGAAGTGGTGATTATGGGACAATTGAAAAAGATGTGGCAGAACAAATGGAATAAAGGGACTAAAAGGAAATCTATATATTTTAAATAAACCATTTGTTGGGAGGATCTAGTGGAAGAAAAAGGAAACAAGATTATAACAAGACTAATGAATAGTCAAGTTGGTCTTAACAGTTCTCTCTATGTTATTGGAAAGCATAATACTTGTTTTAAGTAGAAGAAACTGAAACCATGTTTTATTGGGTTGTCGGAAGTAGAAACGGAGAATAAGCGAGAAGATGGAACCTTTGTTGAGTAGCAGCCGGCACTGTTTCCATTCGGACTCCTAAACAGGTCGGACAACAATCCAATCGCAGAATCTTTCCATCGTGAAATTACCGTTAAATATTCATCCGGTCGGGCTTTTTGTTATAGTGTTAATTGAACATTTCCCCGCTGAATTCAAACGTTAACGGACACTCGGTAACAGATAAACCGGAAGTTGAACCCGGAGCGTCGTGGTGTGTGCACCGCTACATGCTACATGCTACATGCTACGTGTACAGTTTTACTGTTAGCTATGTTAGCAGCTAACTGTTAGCTATGCAATGCTAACAGGACCAACCGGTTGCAAAATATGGATTATTACTGAATAAATTTGACTCTTAATGAAGCAAATGTTGACAGGCCGTGGAAGAAGAGTGGCGGGAGGGTTTGTGTGGAGTTAGCTTCGTGTCAATCACACAAGAGAAGAAGAAGAAGAAGAAGAAGAAGAGGATGAAAGAATAATCTGAGAGAAACTTCTGTTTTTGAGAAGTTTGAGCCTCTGTTGTTGTATTTTGTAATCAAACTGGACAGAAGTGATGTTTTAAAGATGATGTACTCATCCAGAAGAAAACCCGTCCTCTACTTCAAAGAGGAGAGAAGGTAAGATGGATGTTTAGTTATTTATTATTTCATGTATTGGTATTTTATTCAATCTTAGAAGTACATCATGTTCACTGTATTCTTGTTAATTCACAGTAATAGCCCCAGAGGTTGAAGAAATATTATCTCATATATAAAATATTTAAAAAGAAAACACACACTGTGAATATACTTCACTAAAAGTAGAATTATGAATCAGAAAAATGTACTTAATTTATGAATATATTAATATGAAGTGGGACATTCTGCATCATGAGTACTTTCACTTTTGGTACTTGGAATATTTTGATGCCAATGTTTTTATACTTTTACTTGAATAAGTGTTTGAATGCAGGACTTTTACTTCAGGAATATATCTACACTTTAGTATCACTATTTGTACTTAAAGTTACTGTTTAGTACCGATGACTATATGAGTACATACTGTTACACCAGTAAACCAGTAACAAGTATATGTACCTCTGAGATGTAGTACAGTAAAAAGTATATGTACCTCTGAGATGTAGTACAGTAAAAAGTATATGTAGTACAGTAGAAAGTACAATATGTACCATGCGAGGAGAGAGGAACGAGGAAATATGTCTTAAGAGACATGAGACGTCCTTTCCTCAGCTGCGTCAGGTGAAGCAACGTCTGTTTCTGATGACGGAGGATCAGCTGATCACAGCTGGATCAGCTGATCACAGCTGGATCAGCTGATCACAGCTGATCAGCTGTCATTCGGCTTTAACAGCTGGAGAGACTTTTGATAAGTTAGCGTGTGTTCACATGATCACTGTACTTAATAACAGTAACTAATAATACTAATAACGACACACAGTAATCACCACTGTAGAGGTGTTTCTCTCTGTAGTCTGTTAAACTGTGTCCTGTGTTCTGTTTATAAGCACAGGATCCATTTCTACCGGCGGAATGCGATCGTCTTATTTATGAATTATTTGCGTCTGTACGTTTTGAAATTCAGATTGTGACGTCATTATTAAATAACCCAGAATATGATTATTGTTTCTCTTAAATGATAAAAGTCATCAAACCCGACAATCAGGAATGAACAGCCTCACGTGACTGAATGAAATGATGATCCATGATGTAAAAAGTGTTTCGTCTGTCAGCTCTCTCTCTCTCTCTCTCTCTATATATCTATATCTATATATATATCTATATATATCTATATCTATCTATCGATCGATCGATACAATAATAAAAGTTATTGAGGGAAACATCAGATTATGAAAACACAAATCTTTCTAATAAATGTAGAAAGTTGTTTGTGGTCCTTTTGTTGTTCAGTCTACAATGAACATTTATTTAAACCAGATGTTGAATCAGAAACGAATCAAATATAAAGCTCGAGTTTAATCTGTGATCTGTCTTCACTGTTTACATGTTGAACAAAATCTCATCAGTCCGATCGGCTGCAGCGTCCAATCACATGACAGATGAACAATGAGGGGGCGTGTCGGCCGTAAAAACACTTCCTGGAAGTTTGTTCTCGTGGGTCCTCGCTCATGGCTCCTCAGAGATCCCTCCTCCATCCTTGCTCCTCAGAGCAGAAATAAGAGCTTTGGGACGGCCGTCAATATGGCGGCGAGAACAACTTCCGGTTGTCCGAAGTTCGAACCGGAAGTTGAGGAAATGACAATTAACAATTGTACCCTTAGGGTACGTCTCAAGTCTCTGGCCAAATCCCAATGTCCCCCTTACGGACTCACGGACTTTGAGGCGCGCTCCCGCGAAGTCCGTGAGGGTTTAGGGCTGTCCCACTGTCAAATCGTCAAGTGTTTGAGGCTCTCTTGCAGACATTTTGAGCCCTTTATGAACCCTTTCCGTAAGTCAGCATGGTATGCTGATTTAGCCTAAGGGAATTACCCACAAATCATTGCAATGTGACGTTAAACACTGGGTAACCAGTGGACGCATGTAGACGTAAAAAAAAAAGAAGGTAAACAAAGAGGATGGATCACGTGTGTTCAGCCTGTCTTATTACATTTACTCAGAAATATTAAGGGTTAAAGATGGAACAAAAAATAAACATGAAATCAGAAGATATTTATTTATTTATTCATCAAATATTTGATTTTGTCATTGAAGCCGTTTTGACAAAAACGAGTAAATAGATTATATGAAGTTACTTCTCATCTTGTGAGGAAAGAGCCTGAAGACTTTCAAACCAGGGAGTACAAAGTATAAAATAAATACACACAATTATGCATCATATTTATTGTCATTTTCATGGTAACGTGATATATGTTGCAGCAAAGTGCTGTCCCGTTCCTATTTGCACCATCTCAAGCCCTCACAGCCTCTCACACTCACCACTCACCAGGTGACGTCAGTAAGACTTGAGGGTTCAGGGTTTGAGGGTTTAGGGGGGACATTGGGATTTGGCCTCTTATTTGTCATTTCTTCGATTCCGGTTTCAAGAGAGGATCGCTTGAACCGGAAGTTGAAACCGGAAGCGATCCTCGCGATTCTACCCCAAGACCCGTTTGAGAGGAGAACTTTGAGGAGAACCTTCAGGCCAAAGAGCTGATATCACATCAGCCTGACCTCACAATCAGACAGCAGACTAGCGGGAAAGGGAAGCAGTACATGAAGCTTCTCCACTAGCTGAACACCAGACAGGTTTGGCTAGCTGGATGACGTCATGCTAATAACGTATTTAGCTTTTTAAAACAACGGGGACAGATCCAGCACGGACAGTTAGGGAGTGAGGGACATGAAGCACCTGCTGAGACATGATGTATAGTTATAAATACATCATTATATATGTGTGTGTGTGTGTGTGTGTGTGTGTGTGTGTTTTATATTATACAGAATATTATTATTTATTTGCATTAAATCATTCTGGGATGTTTGCTGAAATTGATTGGATGTGGCACAGCCCTACCTACAACATGTTCCACGCCGATCCCGGGTGGTCCTTCTGTGTGGAGTTTGCACGTTCTCCCCGTGGCAGCGTGGGTTCCCTCCGGGTTCTCCGGCTTCCTCCCACAGTCCAAAGACATGCAGCTTAGGTTATTTGGTGACTCGAAATTGCCCGTAGGTGTGAATGTGAGCGTGAATGTTTGTCTGCCTCTACATGTGCCCTGCGCTGAACTGGCGACCTGTCCAGGGTGTACGCTGCCTTCGCCCGATGTCAGCTGGGATCGGCTCCAGCGCCCCGCGACCCTGAACAGGATAAGCGGTTTGGATAATGGATGGATGGATATATATATATATATATATATATATATATATATATATATATATATATCTTATCTTACCTCTTATTTTGAAATCCAGACCTGGTCAGTGTTGTAGTTGTTTCCTGTATTTAAAGATTCCTGTAGTGTTTCAGCAGCTGCCTGAAGCTCCGCCTCCCTCCTGTGTGTCTCCAGGTTCCTCTCTGGTAGATGTACGATCTACAAGCTGTTCGGTCTGTGCATGGTGCTGCTGCTCGTCTCTCTGCTGTGGCTTCAGCTCAGCTGTTCCGGTGAGATGTCCACCCCCCTGCACGGAGACCGACGCCCCCCCCAACAACAACAACAGCAGCAGCAGCAGCCGCCCTGCCCCCCCGCCGTCGATCAGGCGTCTTTAGCGGACGACCCGTCCTGGGGTCCTCACAGACTGGCCCTCATCATCCCCTTCAGGGAACGATTCGACGAGCTGATGGTGTTTGTTCCCTTTATGCACACGTTCCTCAACAAGAAGAAGATCAGACACAAGATCATCGTCATCAACCAGGTGGATCACTACAGGTGAGGAGGGGGGGAGAAGAGCTGTCTCTCTCTCTCTCTCTCTCTCTCTCTATCTCTCTCTCTCTCTCTCTCTCTCTCAACTGAGACTGTGACTCTGGGTTCAGGTTTAACCGGGCATCCCTGATCAACGTGGGCTACCTGGAGAGCGGTAACGACACGGACTACCTGGCGATGCACGACGTGGACCTGCTGCCCCTGAACGAGGCGCTGGACTACGGGTTCCCCATGGAGGGTCCGTTCCACGTGGCCTCGCCCGAGCTGCATCCGCTGTACCACTACAAGACCTACGTGGGGGGGATCCTGCTGCTCACCAAGAAGCACTACCACGCGGTACGGAGCGGCTTCTTCTGTGGTTTCTTTAAACAATGTGAGGGGTCGGAGGTCAGAGGGACTCACAGAAACCTCCTGCTGTCTGCTCTGTGTCTTCATATTTCACTGGAAACAACATACAGAGTGATAATATCAAACTACTGTTACTGAACGGGGTTATTTTAGTCCTGTTCGATTGCAGGAACTTAACTAAATGTTAAGATATGTTAATGGAGCTAGGCAATATATCGACATCAACTTACATTTTGGATATTTTAATATGACATAAGTTCTTTGAGCTCCAGTTCTTGTTCATAATATTGTTCCATAATCAATCCCAGAAACACGAAGCCTCTCTTTAGTCTTTTTAGTGATGTTTATCTTGAAGATGCCGGTTTGTGGTTGAAGTTCCTGAAGTTAAAAATACCCGACAGTCGTTTCACATCACGTTGATGTGATGATTCAGACTGTCCACCAGGTGGAGCTGTTTCACCCGTTTACGCTGGACTCTACTCAGCAGAAACCTCACAGTTCAGGACAAGTCTTCTTCGTCACATCTTCTCTGAAGCAGACAAATAAAATGCTTTATGTTTTTGTTTTTCAGTGTAACGGGATGTCGAACCGGTTCTGGGGTTGGGGCCGAGAGGACGACGAGTTCTACAGAAGACTGAGGAAAGCTGAGTTACAGGTACATGTTGGACCATGTTGGACCACGTCAGACCATGTTAGACCACGTCAGACCACGTCAGACCACGTCAGACCATGTCGCACCATGTGAGACCATGTCGGACCATGTCGGACCATGTCGGACCATGTCGGACCACGTCAGACCATGTTAGACCATGTCAGACCATGTTAGACCATGTCAGACCACGTCTTACATTCTTTCTGTGTTTATTTTCTCTGCAGCTCTTCAGACCGAGTGGAATCACGACAGGATATAAAACCTTCCTCCACATCCACGACTCGGCCTGGAGGAAGAGAGACCAGAAGAGGGTCGCCGCCCAGAAACAGGTACAAGAGTTCACCTGTTAGAGGGAACCAATCAGAAGGTCCCTCTGAGTCCCAGCCGATATCTTTTATAAACATCTAATTCATATACAACAGCTGCGGTCGATGCTATGGCGCTCTTAGTCGATTCGGTCTCAGACGACTAAGACTTCTTCAGTAAACACCAGAGTACCTTCTTTACACAGAACGTGAGTCAACTCAATGATCCTCATCAGGTGAAAACCTCACATCTCCTCATTCTGGTTTTCTGCTCACATTTTTATTCAAAATGCTTTGAAAAGGTTCCGTGAACCAGAGACAGACGTGTGACGTGTGTCTGCAGGTGCTGTGCTAAGCTAAGCTAATCTAAGCTAAGCTAAGCAACGACCAGTAGATTCTGTCTGCTCCGCTAGTTATTACAGGAAAGACCCGGAGCTTTGACCGTCACTGTGAGGTCGCTAAGCTAAGCTAACCTTAGACAGAAACCGCAAACTGAGGAACCACTCAAGTGGAACTTTTTTTGGTTTCTACACTTATAAATAAAACAACAATCACAATAAATCCAGGTCACTTCCTGCAGCCTGCAAAGAGGACTCTCTTTATATATTATACATAATCACAGCTGCTGTTTGAGCGGCTAAGACGCCGTCCGTCTGCACTAAACGTCCACAGGAGAGGAGGTCTTCGTGTTGCGTTCACTGACACACAAGTCTTGTTGGAATTAGCAGCTTCAGACTCAGGAACAGTTCCTTTAGCTCTGACAAAGCAACGAAACAACCAATAAATAATCAATGGAAAGCTCCTCTTGTTAAACACAACACACCCTCCATTGTCACCTTCCCTCCTTCCCTCCTCCTTCCTCCCTGCAGGAGCAGTTTAAGGTGGACCAGGAGGGGGGTCTGACTAACCTCCGTTACCAGGTGGAGTCCAGACAGGAAGTGACCATCAGCGGGGCTCCGTGCACCGTCATCAACACCAAGCTGGAGTGTGACCAGGACCACACGCCCTGGTGTCTGCTGGCGTAGAGGACGTACACACACACCCCCCCACCCCCCCAACAGGTTTCAGGTCTGGAGTCGTGTTCGCTCACCTGGAGGCTTTGATCCGTTTAACGCTGGTCGTGTTTCTACAAACCAAATGAGGCTGTGAAAACAAACAAATGGTACGAACATTGAATGATTTACTCCAGGACACACAGTGGAGCTCGATATCCTCACCGTCGGGTACATCTCAACTATTTAAACTGCTGCTTTGTCTTTTTAAAGCCAGCTGAAGATTTTTCGGTGGATTAAAAACCTCCCGATGAGAAGACTGAACCAAGATTAACTCAAACACACGAGCTTGGCTGTTTTAACGCATTTATTTTGGCGGGGCACTTTGGTTCCTGCTGGCGTTGTTGTTGTTTTTAACTGTGATTGTGCAGAAGGAGCCGAGATGTTCAGATACGTCTCAGAGGGTTCGTGTTCTCTGTTCTGATCCACGTTGGAGAAGAAGTGACGACTAACGGAGGAAGAATCTCAACACTGTTCATTTCCTGCTGTTCACATGAGGCTCTACGTTTACTCTGACAAAGAAAGAAACAAGTTCATGTTTTGTGTTTTTTTTGCAGAACGTGTCTCTTGAACTGATCACAACAGAAATAAATAAGAGACTTTTTCTCATAATTAATGAGAAATCTGGATTTTCTTAACTACGACCAAACGTCCCCAAATGTGTTTCCTGTTCTCTTCAAAGTAAACTGAGCTGAACTGAAGACACAATTATTTATATATTTCAATCCAACATCACCTCGAGAAGGAGCTGAAGCTTCACTCGTAGAGCGACGGCCTGCAGGATTAATCATCATCATCATCATCCTCATTATGGGTTCATCAATCAGATGATTTCATTGATCAGAGGTTAGAGAGACGGCAGAGATGTTCATACGTGTGTTTGTATGAAGTTCTTCTCCAGCCAGAGGAGCAAAGTGATGTTCTGCTGCGGTCGGAGTTTAAATGAACGCTTTGTTTAGAACGTCTTCACCTCTTTACTCTGCTGTCAGACGGACCTTTGATTCATCCATCGTCTCTTTGAACACACCAGACTCCATCACTCCATTCACAGATAACTGCTGTCAGAGAAGTGTCGTCTCCATTTGACCAACAGATCATTTCCTGCTTTCACTGTAAGAGAGGGTTTAAGAGAAGCAAGGTGATGATGATGACGATGATGACGTGATGATGATGATGGTGATGATGATGGTGGTGATGATGGTGATGATGATGATGATGATGATGACGACTGTCCTACATTTGTATTGGTCGACGCGCTGAGTGACCTCAGACAGAAACCAGATGAGATTCGATGTATTTATTTGGGAGAAATATTATTTTAATGTATTTTTGTTACATTATTTGCTTAAAAACGTTTATTTTTGTTTTATTTTCTTTTTATAATTGAACTGATCTCGAAACCACGAGATTCATACTTTATTCTCTCATTTCAGCACGATTTCTGTTGAACTCTCAAGACATAATAATTTAGATTAATATCATTAAATTCTGTCAAATTAAATCTGAAAATATAAAAGCTAAAGTCTGGAGTTTAAAGTACGTTTGTCATAACTCTTTAAAATGTTATTATTATTATTTCAAATGAACGTCCTTATCTGCTCACTTCCTGTTGAGTAGAGAGTTAAAAGTCACTTCTTTCATAATTGTGTTTTGATGAGCGATATTTCTCTTGTGAATTTAAATATTGCAGAAATTTCCATCCTGAGGAAAAGCTGCAACGTGTTTTATATAATTTATCAGTATTTTTACCTTTTTAAAATGCAGAATTTGTCTCGTTTAACGACACAAAACAGCATCAGAGTCACTGAAAAGTCCCTTTGAGTTCCTCTGGACCTGTGACCCTGCAGAGGTCCTGGTTCAGTCTCTTGTCTTTAGTTTTTATATTCAGAGGTCGGCTGACTGTTGTGTGCCGGTTGGCCTCCGGAGGGCGCTCTGAGGTTCCACGTGATGTCATAGTTGTATGTTACAGAGACAAGCGGTACCATGTATTTGTACAATATTAAGTATTTATAAAAACCTGAGTTTACAAAACAAATACAAAAGGCTCGTTTGCTTCTTGTTCTATTTCCTGTGCTGGATCGTATTTAAAGCTGCGGAGCGGAGCGTGTGTCTCCCCCTCTGGCAGAGAGAGGAATTACACAAACATCCTCCTGCAGAGCCCCAGAGGTTTAAACTGCCTCTGCAGGAGGATACAAACAAACAATGGATTCTTCATATCAAACATTTGGGTCCACAAGTGTTACCAATTTTTAAAAACATGGAGGCTCCACGTGTTTATATATTAAACTATTCACATGTTTCAGCCTCTCCTTTCCTCTCTCCTCTATCCTCTCCCCTCTCCTCTCTCCTCTCCTCTCCCCTCTCCTCTGTTTCCGTTTCCGGTTGCGTGTGAGTGGTGGACGTGAGAGTGGCGCGCAGGTTTGATTGTACTTTCACTGCTTTGGGTTTTGTTCCTCTGTTCTTCTGTCTCTGCGCATGATCAGGTAAGATACTAAGCAGTGTATTTATCGGTAGAACGTGTGATTAGTGGTGTTTGGCGTTGTTCGGGAGGATGGCGTCCTCCGAGACGCCACGCCCGTCAATCCGGCAGGAGTCCGGGTAGTTCCACCGGATAGCAGCGTGTCAGTAGAGGAGGTGCTGCTGGCTGTGGAGAGCAGGTGGGACATGACAAACTCTCCTTTGCATCTCGCATGAATAAAGCTGTGGTTGTGTTCGTGGCGAGCGAGGCTTATGTCCACAAGCTGATAGAGAGCGGCGTGTTCATCAGGGACAGCTTCGTGCAGGTCTCTCCGCTCTCAGTGCCCTCTACGCGGATCACCGTGTCCGGTGTTCCGCCGTTTATACCGAACGAGCTGTTAGAAAATGAGCTGCGCAGGTTTGGAAAGTTTGCCAGCGGATTTAAAACAGTCAGTTTGGGGTGTAAGGATCCCAAACTGAAGCACGTGCTGTCTCTTAGGCGGCAGGTCTTCATGTTCCTGGAGTCACCTACACAAACACTGGAGGTGTCCTTCAGGGTTAAACACGGGGAGGGTTCATACATGGTGTACGCTAGCTCGGGACAGATCAAATGCTTTGAGTGTGGAGATGTAGGACACAAACGATTCACGTGTCCGCACAAGCGGCAGAGAGGCGCGGAGGCGGAGCCGGCTGCGGAGCCTGCGGCTGCGGCCGCGGTCGCGCCGGCGGCGGCTGTTGCCGGTGCGGTCGGCGGCGTTTCTTCGTCTTCTGCTGATAACAATAATGTCGATAAGGAGGATCAGGGCCAGTCTTACAACCAGCAGGCTTCTGTGGTGGCGCAGAACCTCACTACATCTGGTACCGAAGCACCACCACAGTCGGTAGAAGTCTGTGAAGAGGCAGCTACAGGTTCAGCAGGTGGAGATCTCACCATAGCCTTAGATGAAGCACAGAGTGTAGGGTCTGTGTCCAACAGCCAGCTGTCTTGTGAAGGAGAGGACATGGAGTATGAGAGTGAATCAGATGTTGCATTTAATTCTGAAACGTGCATTAAAAGCACTGATCTGTATTCACTAGAGGAAATAAACTCTTTTTTGGATGTAACTTACAATAGATCTGCAAAAGTGAGTGATTATTTCCCTGACATTGAGAAGTTCATACGATCTGTTGGGGTGGTGCAGAGAAAGGTGGGTTTGGACCTTCTAGATGGAAAAAAGCGCTTCCGCCTAAAGAAACACATCACAACCTTGAGGAAAGTAAGGAAAAGTGGAAGAGTTCAGAAAACTAAGACAGTTTAACATGATCATGTGTCACACGGGGGTTTCCACTTTCCACTGCTTACTTATCTTGTCTTACCTCCTTCCATCCTCTGACCTTTCTATGCAGAGCTTCAATTTAGGGTCTTTAAACATCAATGGTGGGCGGGACGGGCATAAAAGAGCATTAATACAGGAGGTTGTAAATCAAAAAATGTTGGACATCCTCTTTTTGCAAGAAACTCACACCATTCCAACAGATGAAGTAGACTGGGGTTTATGGTGGGAGGGCTCATGCACCCTGAGCCACGGCACCAATCTTAGTGCCGGGGTAACCGTGCTGTTTAGAACAGCAGCTAACGCAACCGTCCTGTCTGTCACTGAGGTGGTGAAGGGTCGTTTGCTGATGGTGAGGGCAGAGATAGAGAGCTCGCTTTACTGCTTCGTGAACATATATGCACCGAATCAGGGGCCAGAAAGAGCACGCTTCTTCACTACGCTGCAAAACGAACTGCAGAGCTGCCATCAGGAGCAACTGATCATCGGAGGGGATTTTAACTGTACTCTAGACTTCACCATAGACCGGAACAGTGAGGAACCACACCCACAGTCAGCTCAGAGTCTCCACAACGTCATCACACACTTAGATCTGTTGGACACGTGGAGAATAAAACACCCATTAGACAGACAGTACACATGAGTTAGAGTCAGCAACGACAGGATCAGTGCAGCCAGGCTGGACAGAATTTACATCTCTCGCAGTCTCAGTTCCAGACTGAAGAACAGCACAATCAGTCCAGTTGGGTTCACCGATCACCACCTCGTCAGTTTAGGTTTGATAACCTCACCAGGTGAAAGGGTTAGCTCCTACTGGCATTTTAATAATAAACTTCTACAGGACAGCACTTTTTGTCAGAGCTTTGGGGTTCTTTGGCAGCAGTGGAAAACTGAAAAAGTTCGTTTCAGTTCTCTGAAACAGTGGTGGGAGGTCGGAAAAGCGCAGATCCGTGTGTTCTGCCAGCAGTACACCTCAAACGCCACCGCTATAATCAAGTCTGCTGTTAAAGACCTTGAAGCCAACATAAAGATCATTGAGGAGGGCTTCCAGAGAGACCCAGATCCCGGTGTGGGCCAGCTGCTGAAGGAGAGGAGGTTGGAGTTGAGCTCCTTCCTGCAAGAGAGAGTGAAAGGAGCTCTGGTCAGGTCCCGTTTCCTCCAGTTGAAGGACATGGATGCCCCAAGCTCGTTTTTCTTCAACCTGGAGAGATCGGTGGCGCAGAGGAAGCGGATGACCTGTCTGAAGCTCCCAGGAGGCAGGATAACCACTGACCAGAGGGAGATGAGGACCCATGCCATGGGCTTCTACGCTGCTCTTTTTGGGGAAGAGCAATCCTGTACGGAGAGCAGTAGGGAGCTCCTGGAGGGTCTTCCCCAGCTCAGTCCAGCAGAGAGGGCTATGCTGGACGGAGAGCTGACACTGGAGGAGCTGACGGTTGCAGTGAACCAGATGGCTTCAGGAAAGACTCCGGGAATCGACGGTCTCTCTCAATCGACGGATTTCTTTAAGAAATTCTGGAACATTATCGGTTCTGACTTACACTCTGTTTTGTTGGAATGTTTTAAAACAGGATCACTTCCTGTTTCATGCCAGCGGGCGGTACTCTCCCTGCTGCCCAAGAAGGGCGACTTGGCCCTTCTTAAGAACTGGAGACCAGTGGCCCTTCTTTGCACAGACTATAAGGTGCTTTCCAGAGCCTTATCCAACAGACTAAGAGACTACCTGGAAGTGGTTGTAAATAGTGACCAAACGTACTGTATCCCAGATAGAACAGTTATGGACAATATTTTTCTCATCCGTGATGTGCTTGATGTGTGTAAATTCCACGATGTCGATGTAGGTATTGTCTCACTAGACCAGGAGAAGGCTTTCGACAGGGTGGGTCACGCATATCTGTTTTCTGCACTCAGGGCTTTTGGGCTTGGTGATGGGTTCTTGGCTTGGGTGGGTTTGCTGTACAGTGGTGCTGAATGTATGGTCAAAATGGGAGCTGGCCTGAGTCGACCGATCCCTGTACAGCGAGGGATAAGGCAGGGTTGTCCTATCTCAGGGCAACTATACAGCCTCGCTTTTGAGCCTCTGTTGTGCAGGCTGAGAAGTCGGCTCAGTGGTCTGTCACTGCCTGGGTCCTCCAGTCTTTGTAGTCCCCTCGCTGTGTCTGCGTATGCTGATGATGTAAACATCTTCATCAGGGACCAGGGAGATGTTCTATGTCTGCAGGATGCTTTGTCTCTTTATGAGAGGGCTTCATCTGCACGGGTGAACTGGGAAAAATCTGAAGCCTTATTGGTGGGACAGTGGAGACATCAGACGGTGCCTCATCTGCCTGGAGGTCTTCAGTGGGGAAAAGAAGGTCTAAAAGTGCTGGGTGTGTTTTTGGGCTCTGAGGTTTTTGAGAAAAAGAACTGGGAGGGAGTTAAGGAGAAGGTGTGTGCTCGGTTCTCTAGGTGGAGATGGTTACTACCCCAGTTGTCATATAAGGGAAGAGTTCTGGTTGCTAATAATTTGGTTGCCTCGACTCTGTGGCACAGACTCATCGCTCTGACGCCACCTGGAGGCCTCATAGCAGAGATACAGAGGTCTGTCGTGGACTTCTTCTGGTCCGGCCGGCACTGGGTTCGTGCAGCAGCTCTCTATCTGCCTGTGGCAGAGGGGGGGCAAGGTCTCATCGATATCCAGTCCAGGATCGCCTCTTTCAGACTCCGGACTGCACAGAAGCTGCTCTATGGCTGTGGCCCCAGCTGGATGGACACGGCTCGACTGCTGCTGAGGAGAGCTGGGCGGTTGGGATATGATAAGCAGCTCTTTCTCCTACAACCTGAGGAAGTGGACTTGGCCGAGCTGACGCCGTTCTACGGCTCTGTTCTGCAGGCGTGGCAGATTTTTAACATTTCACGTAAAGCTGATGAGACTCCGGGCGTGTGGCTGCTGGAGGAACCTTTGTTCTTCAACAGCTTCATTAGAACCCAAACGCTGCGGTCTGCCAGCCTGAGAACTCGTCTGAGAGAAGCCGGCTGCACTAAACTGGGACATTTGGTGAAGATGTCATTAACAGCAACATCTATGGTCACCTTCAGGCAGAACACTAACATCACGTCTGTCAGGTTGACCAATAGAATAGTGGAGGAGGTCTGTGCCGCCCTGCCACAACGCCTGAGAGCAGTTGCAGGAAACTGTACTCTGTCTGACCAATGGGATGAAGAGAGTGAGTACACCCTCCCCACTCTGCTCATTGCCCCAGCGGTGGGGGACTGGCAGGGGGGAGGAAACAAGCTGCTGACGTTCACAACCCCTCACCTGGACAAGTTTCAGGCAGCAGAGAAAAAAGCTATCTATGAAATCTGTGTAAAGGTTGTGAACCTCCGCTCTCTGGCAGGGTTGACAGAGTCGAGGTGGAACGAGTTCTTTGGCCCAGGTTCTTCCCCGAGAGGCAGCTGGAGGTGCATGTACAAGCTGCCCGTTGAAAAACGGACAGCAGACCTCCAGTGGAGGGTTGTACATGGAGCTATAGCCACCAACAGATACCGGGCACACCTGGATCCACAAATTGGGGAGAAGTGTTATTTCTGCGGTCAGACTGAGACCCTGGAACACTTGTTTGTTCAGTGTCCTCGGCTCTCAGCACTCTTTGAACGGTTAAAAAGATGGTTTCAGGGTCTTGGAGAGGTTTTTTCTTTTATGTTGTTCATCTTCGGTCCAAAATACTGCTCAAAAAAGAAGGCTGTCCACACAATGGTGAACTTTTTATCTGGTTCTGCCAAGTTGGCCGTCTGGTTGACACGGAAGAATCGGCTCGGGGTGCCGGTAGTGAGGATCCGGTGAAAGTTCTGGAGGGACTGTTGAAAGCCCGACTCAGGGTGGAACACACCTACTACCAGACAGTGGACGATTTACAGGCTTTCAGGGACAGATGGACTACTGGGAGCATTTTATGCTCAGTGGGTGCTGGTGGAGAGCTGGTGGTGAACTTCTGAACATATTGATCATTGAAATTGATTGTTTATTTGTTCTTTGGTGCTTTATTTTTTGGTTATTTGTTTTTATTTATTGATTTTCTGATTATTAAGTGATGATTTAGAGTGTTTCTGTTTTTCACTGCAATAGTGAAATAAAGGGATTTTAAAAACCAAACCTCTCTCCTCTCCTCTCTGCTCTCCTCTCTCCTCTCCTCTCTGCTCTCCTCTCTCCCCTCCTCTCTCCTCTCTGCTCTCCTCTCTGCTCTCCTCTCCTCTCTCCGCTCTCCTCTCTGCTCTCCTCTCTGCTCTCCTCTCTCCTCTGCTCTCTTCTCTCCTCTCCTCTCCTCTCTCCTCTCCTCTCTCCTCTCCGCTCTCTGCTCTCCTCTCCTCTCTGCTCTCCTCTCCGCTCTCTGCTCTCCTCTCCTCTCTGCTCTCCTCTCTCCTCTCTGCTCTCCTCTCCTCTCTGCTCTCCTCTCTCCTCTCTCCCCTCCTCTCTGCTCTCCTCTCTGCTCTCCTCTCCTCTCTCCGCTCTCCTCTCTGTGTTCACTTCCTGTAGTTCAGTCAGAGTGTCTCCTCCTTGTCACATGACTGTTGGTCTCAGATGAATCAATCATGACGTCATAGTTTCACACTTTAATGTTTCTACACATTGTGGTTAAAGTGAACTCTTCATTAGAGGAGACATTTATAATAACAACATGAAGATTGTGATAGAAGTGATCGTTACACATGATGTGTTCAAGGACCGTTGTAAAGATACAAATCTGATGATTAATATGTTTTTGTACAGCTTCTTGTTGTGATAAACGGTGTTGTTTTTGCGATTGTTTCAAGAAAACAATCGCAAAGCGTTTATTGGACGCATAATTATTATTTTGCACAACAAATGACTGTCAAACAGCTTCAGCTTGATTGACAGTTGTTTGGTTTGTTCTCAGTCATCTTAAATAAATAAATCCATAAATAAATAGATAAATACTGAAACATTTCTACTGTTGTTCATATCACTCAGCTGGAGGCCAGATCACAGCCACACGTTTCTGTTTCATACCCGTCACTTCTCAGGTGGTGTGTGTGTGTGTGTGTGTGTGTGTGTGTGTGTGTGTGTGTGTGTG